TTTGTGTGTACGCTGTACCATTCCACATTACGCTGAGCCTTTTCACGCAAGGCTACACTGTTTGTATGTACGATGTACCATTCGACATTATGCTGAGCCATTTTACCCAAAGCTACACCGTTTGTGCGTACGCTGTGCTACTCCATATTATCCTGAGTCATTTGACGCAAAGCTACACCGTTTGTGTACTGTATTGCATATGAGTGCTAGACTATTTGCAATTCAGCTGGTTCATTTCACAATTTCATGTTCCAACTCGACATGGGCAACTAGACCGTTTATCATTTGGCTAAACTATTTATGTTCAGGCTGTTCTATTTCATGAAGGAAACCTAGACTGTCTATAATTTGGCCATGCCATTCCTTTATTAGCTATGCTATCTTGCAGCTGATCCTTAAACCATCTTTGTATTTACTGATCTATTTGACATCCTTGTATTTTTGGTGGTGACGGCCGCCCATAATCGTTCATATGATAGTTGATTATGCCATGTGGGTAGCCGTTCTGAAGAAGGAGTTTTCGAAAATCATTGAGGGCAGATTGTAGCAAGGAGCCAGACGAACAAAGACGGTAGTAGCGATAAGTGAGGGAGCAGATGAGGTTTATTTTGTACTTTCGTGGGGTGAAGGAATCCCATTTCGATTAGAGACCTGTGAAAGTCTTCTTTCGGTAGATGGATGTCTTGAAAGTGATGTTTTGATGACCTGTGATAAGAATGTCCAAAAAGGAATTGCATTATTCTGTTCAAATTCAATGGTAAATTTAATATTGATATGACAGTTGTTTAATAATAGTGCAAAACTCATTGGCACTGCCTTTGCTGTGAAACATGGTGAACGTGTTATCAACGTACTGATTCCAAAATGAAGGACTAATTTTGATATTCATCAACCATTTTTCTTCAAAATCACACAAAGATGTTGGCATAAAGACAGGGCCCAATGGCGAACCCATGGCAACACCATCGATTTGGTCGTAGTATTTACCATCGAAAATATCTTACCTTTAAATACAAATCTTACCTTCATACAACTATTTTACCTCTAAAGATGGCAAACTTAGTAGGAAACTGCGGCGAAATCAGTACTAACTTGTGTTGGGAAAATCAGAAATATCAGACTATGAACATTGGTTATGGTGAAGACAAAAACGATGCCACATACACAGTTTCTGTGAACAGTGAAGAAATAAAAACAGTAGGAAAGCTTGAACTCTTAGACTCGAAACTTAATTTCACTGATCAAATTAGTTCAATCTGTAAAAAGGCCAGTCGGTTAGAAACCTAACCTATAAATGCTAAACTAGTGCTGTTCAAAACAGCGATTCTATCGTACTTAACGTATGGTCAATTAGTTCGGCATTTTTGTAAAGCTAGCTATCTGCGCAAGATAGAACGACTCCAAGAGAGAAGCCTAAGGGCTGTGAACAAAGATCATCACGCAACCTGCTCAGAATTACTCGAGAGAGCCGAGCTACCAACATTAAAGAACAGACGCCTGCAGGATGTATGCACACTTGTGTATAAAGTCAAACACAAATTATGTCCAGCTTATATTAGTAATATTTCTAATATTAAGATTGGAGTCGTACCAGCTAGTGGTAGTGCGCGCGGTTTCTCTAAGCTCCGAGGCAACACTGGATTGTTCATTTCCGATGTCGTACATCCGGTGGTCGTCTAAATACATCGACAAGCTCGACTCAACCAAAAAAATTAAAGGGCAAGTCATTTTGAATTACATTCCATAGCAGTGGACCCAGGGCAGAGCCCTTAGGGCAGCTAGGGCTGACTGTCCGGGACGAGCTCGCATGACTGCCGGTTTTGACTCGAAATTTCCGGTCGCATAGGTAGCTGTTCAAGAGCTGATTAGCTTTACGATATACAGCACTGGCTCAATAACACTTCCGAAAAATTTATTATGCTACGTGCATTTGCATCTGTCTCTCCTGTTTTGTTTCGTACATGGTCCAAGAGGATGTCCTCTCGTATTTGTTTACTTTTATCAATTTGAACATATAATCAGAGAAAGAGGATTATACTGATCTCAGAATTTTCAAAATCCATCAAATCTGTAGAGGATGTTTCGATGCTGACAAGGAAGTCAAGAAAATGTTTTGATAACCTCGTCTCCAATCTTCCAGCGGGCAGAGAAACACATACGGTATCATTCTTTTTTAGGTACAGACACCCTTGATATAAATATTTCCTATATTTGCTACAAGCGTCCTGTGAGATCACTGAGGTTTTCTTTTCACTTACGAAAAATGGAGGATACTGGGGTCACCTACAATTTTTTATCTCAGAGAACGTCTTCTCCTCTGCATGTATTTTGCGACAGTTTGTTGAATTCATGATTAGGGGATGAGAATTTTACCCCAGAAATTTTACAATCGCTTACAATCGCCCAAATTAAGTGATGATAAATCGTCTTATAATTTCATCCTTATACAATTTGTCGGCCGTGTGTAATGCAAGCCTATACAAGTATTGACATAATTTCAAAATTGAACTGCCAGACTAAATACTCAAAAACGCTTTTTTTTTCAATTTTTTTTTACAGATGGTCTCTTTCGCAATCAGCGATTCCATCTACCGAATAAATTAATTCAGTTTTCTTTTCCGTTCATTTTATTTTCATTTTTATTTGAATTCCTTTATCATATTGTTTCGGTCTTCGAGATCATCGCTTTTCACTCGTCCACGAAGGTCGCCAGGCGCATTCTCTTCTGGTCGGGGACCACTGGACTAGACCGCTGTACTGCCCTATTTCTAGGATAGTAGGCTCCAGATGAAGTGTAATTTAACAGCTGAAGAGAAAGGAGGGAGGACGTTAGTGTATTTAATCAACTGGTTACCACGCCTCTTTGCCACGAGTAAATGGAAAACAAATTCTTGCACGATATTGAGGATTCGGCAACCAAACCTTCCTACCTGATCGTGAAATAAAATAAAAATCAAACATTATTATGCAGAAAGGGTGATATTGTTGTGCTGAGTAAAGTAACAAAGCTAACAATAGCAAAGAGTAATTTATCACGTTATTTCAAATGAGCAGATTGCCTTTACATGGTACGACGCGAACCCGTAACACCAAATATTTGTCTGTATTTTAAGATTCGCCAAATTAAACGCACTAATTTGCCCTTGATATCAGCACAAATATGGTTCACATCATTTTGCGAAAAAAGATTGTTTTAATTACCTCGTCTGTTTCAGAACATTAATCTCCTTTCAGTCTTTTGGAAGTCTCTTCCTTTTGACGAGGGAAACTGTCATCTTCGATTCTTCTCTTTTCTGTATGACCTACGGGTGGCACGATCATAATGTGATGGTAAAACACTTTTTTTCAAGGTAGTTCCTGTTTTATTCTTTATTTTTTTTAGGCCCCACAGTCAATCAATGACTTGGCCACTAAAGTAACGCGCATGTCCTCGTACTCGATGGAAGTTGCATTTTCCCGCGCTTGGTGCAGGTTCAAAGTTTTCCGCGCTTGACGCAGATTTCTGGTCGCCTGCGCTCCCTAAGAAAGGAAATTGTGGTCTCTATGTTCAATTCAAGGTTGTCAAAATAAACCGACACGCGGCGTATTTTACCGTCCACTCTGAAAAACGCGCTTGCTATTCAGAGTGATTGTGTCTAAATATTTACAGCATAGAGGCTTAACATTGTGCCGCCCACGTTGTATCACAGTCCAGTCACTAAAAATCTTTTTAATAATTCTTAAAATAAAAGGGACAAACTACGCACCTAACAAAACCAGTCCCGCAAAATTGACCAATGGAAAATCGTCTTAGGGGCTCTGGATATTAAGTGATAACAAGGTGTTAACTCCTGCTTTGCCCAATAGCTAAGACTGTTCTTAATGGTCCCAAGCTCAGTTCCTTGGTCAGAATTCAAGATGGCCCACTCGTTTTCGTAGCTTGTTACCATGTGCCCTTCTCCTTTCTTCTAAAGTTTATCTTAGATAACTATTTTTCGTCCTGTTTCAAACTCTGGAAAAGGCGAAAGGACGCTTAATGTGGAGACCACTGACTGGTTTAACATTGCTTATAAAAGCCACAGACAGCCCAGACTCACGGTATTTTTTAAGTTTTAAATGCTCGAGAGTAAGACTACTTCCTGTTACGTCACATAACGATTAGAAGGGTGTGTACGGGAAAATTGAAATGCCAAATACATTCCTAATTTTTTTTTTGTTTCGGACCAAGAGATTTGAAATAGACTACTTTTCCTCGATATGTAATCCTGTGGTCTGATTGAGGAAATCTGGGTTGGTTTTTCGATACTGCCTGCCTTAAAATACATGATAACGTGACTTAACGTTACTTTACATTAAGTTTCGTTGCGTTACGTTACGAAATCGCACGCTTGCCTGGACGCTAAATCAGAAAGTATCATCTTATTACTCAAGACCGCTAACACTGGTTGCCAGAGATGACTTTTACGCCGAGCAGCTGACGATAACGTATGCAGCTATTAGTAAGCGCATAACTATGCAGATTTCTGAGGTTACTTATAAAACGACTTCAAGCCACGTACTCAAACTAAAGAACTCATAATCATTCATTAAAAAAATTTCGAATCAAATAATATTCTTAAAAAAATTACCTTGGTTGTAGCAATATTGTTCAGCTAAATCTTTACGCTGCACAAGTTTATCCTGTAATGCATCATTCAAAACTTGGTAAGTTGCTTCGGAACCTTTCTCCTGTTGCCAGTGTTTTAACATGTGATATGCTCTCTCGTCCAGCTCGTTGTATTTGTCTGTTATAACCTCTAGCATTGCATCCTCAACTTTCAGGCGACGCCCAAGCTTAATCCACTTTTTGCCAATTTTGTAAGCTATTTCTTCCAATTCGTCTTTTGATGGTACGCCTTCTTTTACTACAAAAACAAATAATTTTAATTTACAGAACCACTACTGTTACCGTCTTTTTACCGGGATCTCTTAAGTAAGTTAACCAATCACACTGTAAGCAACGAACAGTGAATCCAGCCAGAAGCAAATAACCTTCTGTTTTAACTTGGTCCAATTATATCAATCAGTGTTCAAGGCCGAGGTAAGGAAAGAGAACAAAGAACTTAGATAAGAATTTTTTAAATTGTTTCCAGTCGTCAAATTTGATCAGGATAATGTATCAGTGGCTCCTGTAACATATGTCAAATTCCACTTTTTTTTTTTCACTCGAAAAAATCCCCGTTTGAAACAACAAAAATGGCATTGATATCATCCCTTTTTTTGTTTAAGATGTTGACACTTTGGACACATTTTTGTGATGCACACCATACATCACAAGACTTGTTTTGTGACTTTTACCATTTTGTTGTACATTCCTTTTTAGTTTCAAAACAATAAATATCATATTAACAGAACTGGTGAGACAGTTCACTGGTGTTTATAATTACTGTTTTCAATTCTTGAATTCTGCTGGAAATCAATCATTAAATTTGGAAAAGACGCAATTCAATGTTCCATACCTAAAAGGCAACAACTGATTCCCATGTTCGTTTGACCTCACACAATATTTTTTTATTACCAATACCTTTCTAATTCAGCCACCAAAAACGCAAAGTTTTTCATTGCGAGGAGGAGAATAACCCTTCTTGTTAACTAGGGGCGATCAAGAAGTTTTCTTTGAAGTGGATACACCGCCAAGGAATAGAGTAACTGACGGTTGATGTAAACAAAGTTTAGAAGCGAAGCAAGCTTATAAATAGGCAATAACATAATCTGAACTACTGAGAATACATGGAAAACAATACAAGATTTTAATTTGGTAGCCCAGATTTGTAACTATGAAGTTGTATTAGAAAGCCATAAGACACCTCGGGGGAGGGGGAGGGAGAGAGGGTGTGCCCCCTGCATCCCTCCCCCAGATCCGCCCCTGTTAACACAGGTGAAGCCTTCGAAACACCTTTTTTTAGTTAGGGATCATTGAACAGATTTGAATCAATCTTAAAAGAGATAAACAGAGATGTTGCAAAAAATTGAATTAAAAATGACTTACAAGAATTTCCCCCAGGTGAAGGGCTATGGGATGAACAAACTTCACTGAGTGGAGCAGACTCCTGCAACAAATCAACAACCATAATTACATCAATTTAACACCAACATTTTCTTCAAACACAGCCCAGAGATGATTACTATAGTCTTAGTGTTTGATGACTGTCAGCCATCTCTAACAAAACTAACCCCTTCAGTATGAAAATCTGGGCTACCTGTATGATCAGAGAATCATTTTGCACTAGAACTGTTCTCTAACTTGATGAATTTCTTCACAAATAACGCTTTTTCAAAAAGAATAGGAGTTGCACACCCACAGAGTAATACTTTTCCGCTTATTTCAGGTTGCATTTGTTTGCAAGCTGATTCTTGTAGAGGGAGGAAAACCATACACAGAACAAAAAAGAAAAGCTTTCGAGCAGGAACAACAACTTACAAAAAAATCATTTTCATATTTGATTAAAGTGTTACCCCAGTGTGACTGAAAATTGTAACCTGCAAGAATAATTTCATCTTGAAGGAAAATGTTTTTCCTCTAAAACGGTAACAAAATTAACAACAGGAATTTTCCCAGACCAACTACAGCCTGTTTACACTCAGATGTGAAAAAACAGTAACGTGTTATAATAATAAAAAAGAAACATGAATTTTAAAAACCGGCTATACCTGGCTTCTTCTAGAGAACCATTTCTCCAGCCCACAACAGGCCATCACTTTATCCGAGAGTTTCCGCTTACAGATTGTTGGTTGACCCTCATTTGCATCAATAAGGTGGAAGCAGTCCTTGTGTATGCAAGTGGTTTTGATGCATGCATAAAGTGGTTCCTCTGTCCCTTGATGACAATATGGACAAGCAACACACAGCTCATACTGTAGTCCTCTCAGGTACGGCAGTTCCTGCTGCAAAGCCTGTAGAGTTTTTTCAAGAAACTCACGAACGAGAATTGCTAGTTCGGCTGAGTTTTGTCCTAACACCTGGTGACTTTGTGCTCTTTGTCTCAAGACTACCTTCACGTATCTTTTTTCGCATATGAGGACAAAATCATGAATATCTTTCCCAATGATGAACCATACTACATTTTGGTGCAGGGTTGGTTGATGCTCGGCCCATGTCTTGGAACACCAACGAATAGACCGTGAGACAAGCTGTAAGAATAGACCATGAGGGACAAAGCCATGGACAAAGTGGAGATACAATGGACATGGATCAGTTGACGATGGCCTCAATTTTAAGAGTTCATCAGGTGACGACTTTAACTGAGCTGGTACAAAGTACTTCAAATTATTTGAAGAATCAGAGAACTTAGCAATTAAACCAAATTGCTCCATCATGCCTAGGATATCTTCTTTGACAATTCCTTGGCCAGTAAAGCTTGAGAAAACGTGATCAACAAGTTTCATGCTAAGGATACCACTTTCTTCAAGTTCTTGCCAGTACTTGGCATACAGTGGTTCCTTCTAAAATTAATGGAGATAACAACAGTTCTAAGTGAACATTGCTGAAAGTTCACTTTGAAATACAGAATCACTGAAAGCAAGGTAACTCAAACAAATGAACACTATTTAAACTGTTTCGTTGTGTTACTTGTTTAATCTAGCAATTAAATTAAAAATCATTAACATGAACAGGCAGGTGTGTAACTGGTAAATGATCCAACAATCAACACTTCATACTTCCGCAATACAAAGTGTTTAATCTTACACAAGTTTAAGACTAAAATTAAAACATAGCATTTTAAGTTCATATTGTTTGTAAAACTAACCTCCCTCAGATGAGGCTGTAAAACAGAATATTACTTTAAATATTTCAGTTAAACCTGGCCAACACTTCAAAATAAAAGGTACAAATTATAAGAGAAAAGCTGACAGATCAAAATATCATTAGGGCTGCATTCAGCAAGGAAATGAATCATGGTTTCTTTCCATTTACACAAGTTAGCCTTTCTTTCTTATCATATGGCTTTTAAAAATAACACATTTTCTTACCACTTTATCAAAATGTGGAACGGTTATCAGCTGCTTGAAGAGTTCAATCAACCATTGAGCCTTCAGTACAACTGTACTGCGGTGCTTAATTATCTTTCCCAGGTCATGGTAAAAACTGATCATGGAGTCAAACTCATCTGGATCTTTCATGAAACACTCTTTCCTTGCATAGTGTTCAAGTTGTTGCACACTTCTGTGATAAATTTGTTTGGCCAATAAAGCTTCAATCACCTTTTCAAATAGGAACCACCTAAGGAACAATGAAAACAGTCAAAGTAAATTTGGAATAATTCATTACATAGTTTTATTACTTCTCAAGAAAACATCTTTTTGTTGTTTTAATTGATGCTAAATACATTAATTTTGGCTACATGCTGAGCATTATATGATTGTTTCATGATCATGAAAATCTGCACTGCACCTAACCAAGATGGTGGATGGGCCGGGTTACATTTCACCTACTTTGAATCATACCCTGTCAGTAGATATCACCTATTACTACACATGCATTGCTATGTACCTCTAAATTATGTAAACTCATTTATTTTTTCAATTATGGCACAAGTCAACTACTGTTTGACTCAACATAATTTTCTATCTTAAAAAAGAAATGACACCATATACTAATTTCCAGTTGCCAAATTTGAGGCACATTGTAAGAAAGTACGTCTAGCAGTTTTAACTACAAAATATGATGATCTTATTTTGATCAAAATACATATACATGTATAACCCATGGTGCTTATGAACCTAAACAAGCTTGCACATTTAGTTTAAGCAAAACTTCTACACAACATTATTTCAGAGGAAAGGGAACAATCTGCAGACTACACTGAAGAGAATAAAGAGGGGAAGTTTTCAAAACAAAATGTGCTGCTGCGTTGGGGGAGGATAACTGGGTAATTATTGTTTTATCAAATGAGTTGATGATGTAAATTGGTTTTTAAATAGTTTAAGAGGTCAGCCTTTGAGTGTTAGCCCTTCATCAGAGTGAATGAGAGCCCCAAAGAGAGAGTCCCACCCCTCCCCTATTGGAAGGGGAAACTCTCTCTTTAGTGCATCTTTTGCTATTACATTTAAACACACCATTATTTACCTGATTGGGATTTTCTCTTCCATGTATGGTTCCTTTCTTAACACTTCCATGATACTGTTTTGTAGCAATGGAATTGCATCTCCACAGAAGTTATCAGCATTGATTTCATTATCTTAAAAATCAATTGCAAACAAATATTTTTGATCAAAAAAAGGTAAGTCTCAAGGTAACACTACTTGTGATTACAAAGGTGGCTAAGTTGTCTAAAGGGGATGTACCCAGACCTTTTCAGGTAGCCAGCAATTAAAAAGAGTAGCCAAGGAGAGACAAGTCAGTTCCTACAGAGAACCAGCTCCATCTACTCCACCATAGTTCATATTTGCCTCAACTATTCCCTCTCCAGTTTCAATCAACCTTTTTAGAGCACATACCACAATCAAGAAAAGATTTAAATTTTTTAGATCAAAACTGATCTCTTACCATTTTTTCTTATAACAGTAGTGGGCAATTCTGAGTAGCTAGTGAAAATAGTGAAAATGCTGGCCACCCCTGTTTCAGGAGAGCACTGCATACCTGTGATATAAATACATTATTTCAATTCAACAAAAAATTTCCCACTCGGTCCTAAAACATAGTTTGAAAAATCTTTTGGGTTAGAGACTTCAAACGACTGTGTAAATAAAGAATTGAATCATTGCTAGCCCACAAGTGAACCTGCAAGCTATAGCAATTGTGAAGCAATCTTCTGTCCCTTAAAATGAGATGTTTACTTACTCTTTAGACCCTTTAACTCCCATGAGTGACCAATACAGAAAAAAAAAATTGAGGGGATCATTGAAAAGAAAAAAAAGAAAGAAAAAAATATGATAATAATTGCAAGAAAATCTGAAGTGTCTGCCTAATAAAAGGGTTGGAATCTCTGACCAATATATTGAGTACAAACCCACATAACAGAACTCTGATTTAATTTGGTTCCAGTCCAAAGTTTTTCCGTGCACAAGTAGGTAGATAGCACCAAGAAATAATTGCCAACCAGTATATGTACATTAAGAGAATCAATCCAAAATCTTTACCTTACAAAAGATTACCGGCCTCTATAAATGCTGATTATAAATCGTCAGTCTCTAATTGTCAATCACAAAATACAGATCACAATGTACCTGGTTGTTTTGATGATGATCTTGTGTTGTCAATGCAGTAGAGAGGCCGCACCACATGCTTCTCATATTCCTTGCCAGAAATTCTCTCCTTTATTTGTTTTTTTATCACTGCAATGTCATCAACTGGTTTGTCAGCATGTGTGCCAACAATGAACACTGGGGGGCGGAGGTAGGGCAACTTGTGCTGTGCATCATTATCTGTGTCATCAGTTACTGGTGCTTGGGCAACACTGTGAACTGTGGCCAGCCATGACAACAAATTCTCTATATTTGTTTCATTGTTGCAGTTTTCCAATTTGACATCAGTGGTCCCTTGTCTGACGCAAGGCTCAGCTAGAGTATCTAGTGGCTTACTAAGATTGTGCACCAATATGTACAGTGCTCGTGATGATAGAAAGATAGGGTGACTGGCATAGTACAAATGCTGCCCTGCAAAATCCCACATGTCTAAACTTAAGATAACTTCTCTGTTGATGTCACCTCTACGTTTGATATACTCTAGCCACTGATGAACATATTTTATGATCTCATCTGGAGGCGAAGTGTCAATCTGTATCTCAGGTCCATTTGGTGAGTTTTGTTCCTCGGAATCCTGGAAATTTTCACTGCCTTTGTCCTCCTCTGCCTCAGCCTAAATAAAGTTAATAAATTAACATATAACAAGCATCAGTTTAGGGTGAGAATTTTGCAAAAAAGAGACTCCCTGACAAAGACATCCACAATTTCTCTGAACCATGACACGATATACTAATTTCTAGTTGCCAAATTCAAGGTACATTGTAAGAAAGTACGTCTAGCAGTTTTAACCACAAAATATGATGACCTTATTTTGATCAAAATGCATATACATGTATAACCCATGGTGCAAAATCCCACATGTCTAAACTTAAGATAACTTCTCTGTTGATGTCACCTCTACATTTGACATACTCTAGCCACTGATGAACATACTTTATGATCTCATCTGGAGGTGAAGTGTCAATCTGTACCTCAGGTCCATTTGGTGAGTTTTGTTTCTCCGAATCCTGGTAATTTTCACTGCCTTTGTCCTCCTCTGCCTCAGCCTAAAGAAAGTTAATAAATTAACATTTAAGAAGCATCAGTTTATGGCGAGAATTTTGCAAAAAAGAGACTCCCTGACAAAGATATCCACAATTTCTCTGAACCATTAACACAGTGACAATTTTTGATCAAGTACGAAAAGTAAAAGAGGTTTACTCCACAAAAAGGCTTTAATTTGTGCTCATGGCTTTTGCATCCATCTTGCACACAAAAAAAAAAAAGAGGTGATTGCTTACAACCCTTTTTATCCTCAATTCAATGATGAATTGATAATAGTACATTTTCCTGCTAACATCAGGGAATAAGGATTTTAAACTGTTCCTGTTCACCTTGTCTAAGATTGTAGCCAGCCTCTGGGCATGAAGCTGTTACTTTAAAGTTCTGTAAAGCATCTATGAATTTACAGAAAGAACAGTTTACTTCATAGATATAGGTGTACAATTCATCTTCTTAAGATAGGTTTTAGACCATTTATATGCTCAAGGTACTTTCCATAATATGAAACATAATCTTTATTAAACAACAACAAACATATGAAACATATGTGTGAACTGCGGTTATGAGACGTATATGAGAACGATCCTTCGCAGTAAAGCACTATTTGAGCAATAGTGAAAATCAGACCTGAAAAAAATTTCAGGCCTGTACGGGACTCGAACCACTGACCTCTGCGATACTAGTGCAGCGCTCTACCAATTGAGCTAACAAGCCAACTGGGAGCAGGCCATCAAATTAATTCGATATAAACCCGTAGATGATAAATCAAACAACAACAAACATATGAAACATATGTGTGAACTGCGGTTATGAGACGTATATGAGAACGATCCTTCGCAGTAAAGCACTATTTGAGCAATAGTGAAAATCAGACCTGAAAAAAATTTCAGGCCTGTACGGGACTCGAACCACTGACCTCTGCGATACTAGTGCAGCGCTCTACNGCGCTGCACTAGTATCGCAGAGGTCAGTGGTTCGAATCCCGTACAGGCCTGAAATTTTTTTCAGGTCTGATTTTCACTATTGCTCAAATAGTGCTTTACTGCGAAGGATCGTTCTCATATACGTCTCATAACCGCAGTTCACACATATGTTTCATATGTTTGTTGTTGTTTGATTTATCATCTACGGGTTTATGTCGAATTAATTTGATGGCCTGCTCCCAGTTGGCTTGTTAGCTCAATTGGTAGAGCGCTGCACTAGTATCGCAGAGGTCAGTGGTTCGAGTCCCGTACAGGCCTGAAATTTTTTTCAGGTCTGATTTTCACTATTGCTCAAATAGTGCTTTACTGCGAAGGATCGTTCTCATATACGTCTCATAACCGCAGTTCACACATATGTTTCATATGTTTGTTGTTGTTTGATTTATCATCTACGGGTTTATATCGAATTAATTTGATGGCCTGCTCCCAGTTGGCTTGTTAGCTCAATTGGTAGAGCGCTGCACTAGTATCGCAGAGGTCAGTGGTTCGAGTCCCGTACAGGCCTGAAATTTTTTTCAGGTCTGATTTTCACTATTGCTCAAATAGTGCTTTACTGCGAAGGATCGTTCTCATATACATAATCTTAATTCTTAATTCCATGGGTAACTCCTTACAATTAATATATTGTTATGGCTGAGGTAATGTACATGATTAGGAATTTAACCAATTACCAGTACCTGATGCATTAAAATGTGTAATTACTGTTAATAATGCTTTAACTTATTAAAGGATATTTTAAATTACCACAATTGCTTTTTCTCTGTCATAAGTCTAACTCTGCGAAAATCCCTTTTCAAAGAGGGTGGATGAGTTGTGACTCATTCTCACTCAAAATCATCTTCTGAACTTACTTTATCATCAGAGCACTCTTCTTCTCCTGAACTATCTTCTTCATCTTTTCCTTGCCTCCTGACTAATTTCTCTGCCACAATCTCTGCCACATCTTTAGCACATTCCAACAGTCCTGGTTTGTTCTCATCTGTAGATTGCCAATTTCTTACTTGGTCAACATCAATTTCACACTTTGACGGATCCACTTCAATCCCATCAGTGCTCTGTTCTTTAGGATCAAATGGGAGGCCTAAGAGGCTCTTCTTCAAACTGGTTTTACCTGCACGATACTGACCAATGAGCATGATTCGACCATGGTAAACTCTTACATATTCATCTTTCAAAGTCCTTTCATAAGCCAACTCTGCTTCATGTCCTTCTGCTCTCTGTATTTCCACATAGTCTAGGCAGAGAAAGTTGAAATAATTAATCCAAAGGAAAAAGCAATTTCTGTTTTCATAAGTTTCAACAAAATCTCAAAAAAGCCTAGCAGTTGATAAATCAATTTACCATAATTATTATGACCTAGAAGGCCCTGAGTACATGCAACTACAGCAAACCATAATGAAAGCTGTGTAGAGCCACAGGGATTGACAATAAGCTAGGGTGGAAAAATGGTCCAGCCCTGCATTCATGCAGCTTTGTTACAAAAATTGTTTGTTTTTATATTTCTAACATGAAAAATTAAATATGGGTAGAGTTAATATGGGGATTAAGTTCCTCCCCCTATAACCCAACTGTAATGCAATGTAGTGTAATGTAATATAATGTGAATTACGATTACAATTACAATACAGCTGTTATTATATATATATATATATATATATATAACAAGTTAAAAGGCCTCGAGCCAACAGTGACGCCGCACCAGAAGGATCCAAAGGGATTCACAGTCCAAACCTCGATAAAYAGAAGGAAAAATATTGTAGTACACGAGGACGGACAACTTCAAGCTAAAAGACATATACTCAAATAAAAAGTCTAAGAAAGTTTAATAAAAAACGTTTCGGTCCGAGACCTTCATCAGCTGTAATACAATGACTTACAAATTCCTTAAATAGATTTATATAGGGCGTGATGACATATATAAACAAACACAGTAATTACTACGTATGGTGGACAATCCTCGCAGTAGATAGCGCTATTTAGGCAATAGCGAAAATCAGACCTGAAAAAAATCAGGCCTGTACGGGATTCGAAACCCTGACCTCTGCGATACCAGTGCAGCGCTCCACCAATCGAGCTAACAAGCCAACTGAGAGCAGGCCGTTAAGTTGATTCACAATAAACCCATGAAAGTAATAAATGAGATACAATGAGTATATGAAGTTCATATATTCATTGTATCTCATTCATATATTCATATATTCATTGTATCTCATCGGCCGTACAGGCCCGATTTATTTCAGGATTTTTTAGCTCTACAAAAAAAAAGTAAAAACACCCCTTTTTTTCGAGCTTTTACGTTCTCCAGCGCATGCACAATAATTTCATTACTTTTGAATACGTCAAGCTCTAGTTCGTGTTACTACCTTTCCAACGACGTATAATGTGTCTACATTTCATGAAATAGTGCTGAAAAAACAGGAAAAGCCTTTCAGCCTTAAACCCACAATTTTGTCAAAATATGCAAATTCGACGAAATAGGGCCTAAAAATAAAAAATATTCATTGAAATGACGTAAAACTAGGTGTACGTCATAGAAAGTATGCCATAAACATCCTCTGAAAATCTCAGCTCTCAACTCCCAAGAATAAAGGTTTTAGCAGTTTTGCCATCTAGCCCTAGTTTGAAGGTTGGGTTATGAGTAAAATTAATTCTTCTGTAGGTTTGATACCTATACTAGATCTTTCAGCTTAGGTCTGGATTTATCAAATTAGAGGGAATCGAGTGGAACTAATATCACTCGATGGGGAATGCCCTATACTATGCACATACCACATTTTGGCATGCTTGGAATATTTTTAGCGTGATTCCCCCGAGATGTTGATTAGGACTCCCTTACCCTAACCCTAAGTGTAATATTTCCTATTCCTTTTTAATGGAATCATGTCAAACCTTGCACAAACATAGCTCTATACTAGTACTCTATTTATACCAATGCACAAGTTCAGAACTTTAATCCTGATTTTTTTATGAATTTTTTTAAGAGGGTAGGGTTAGAGGGAGTCCATATTAACACTAATCCAAATGTTAATACCGCCTCCCCGGAAGTTAATACGGACTCCCTCAGTGTTAATACGGACTCCCTCAGTGTTAATAGGGACTCTTTAGCCTCTACCTGCCAAACCCTTTCAGGGAATCACATGATTTTTACACATAACACCACCGAATACACGCAGTTGATGTGGATAAAGTTTCATGAGGATTGCTTTTTTTAAGACCAAGAAGATGGACTACTTAGCTTCTAAGCTAAATCCATGTTTTGGGGGTCCCTCACACTAAGCTCATGTAACTTTTTCAACTATAACCCTTTAACCATGAAACTCATTGCATACTTGGCCAATGCCTTAAGCTTGTAGTCAAATGAAAATGGAGAGATTCCCTTTAAAGAAATAAAAGTTACTATGCTCCAAAGTCGTGTATATGCAAATGAGGCAAATACTTGGCAGAGAATCCAAAATGGCAGACATAAAAAGAGGTGCTCTCTTTTGAACTTCTATGACTTCTTAACCCCTCAACTTTTAGCCTTATAATTGACTACAGTGATAGACAAAGCATTAAACTAGTTTTGTATAAAAAATGAAGCTATTAGATTTTGAAACGACAAAGATTCAATGTTTTAAAGTTGGTTAATTTATCCAAAAAAGAAAAGTATCACAAGTAGCATAGCACTTCCCATGAGGGCAGCCCATTTGGTGTCTGCCATCTTGGATTTTTTTGCCAAGGGGTAGCATGACCATTTCAGTCAAAATTTTAAATTTCTCTGAAACTCCTGCTATAGGTTCATTGATCTCCAAAACAAGTCTCTAGCGCCTTAAAAGTGGTTTTGAAGCTTTAAGACCAGTCATTCTGACTTACACCCCTCAGCCCATCTTACACATTTGACTTGTCAATCTTCCAAGCGCCATATCTCTCTTGATTCGGCATATAACGACTTCAAACTTCACAGAAAACTAGTTCCATGCCATATCTATATCTCAGAGAAATTGCACGTCAACAGCGGGAGAGAATCAGTAGTTATAGCACTTCCCATGGGAACACCCCATTTGATGTCCACCATCTTAGATTTCTTTGCCAAGGAGTAGCATGGCCATTTTAGTCAAAATTTCAAATTTCTCTGAAACTCCTGCTATAGGTTCATTGATCTCCAGAACGAGTCTCTAGCATCTTAAAAGTGGTTTTGAAGCCTTAACACCAGTCATTCTGACTTACACCCCTTAGGCCATCTTACACGTTTGACTTGTCAATCTTCGAATCCCCAAATCTCTCTTCATTCGGAATCTAATTAGGGTTATATGCAAATCAGTGTGTTTGAGTTAATCCCTCTGCCATCTTAGATTCTTTTGTTTTCAGAAAACCGTTAAGGTTTAAAAAACCCTAACCCTAATAATCTTAACCCTAATAACCCTAACAACCCTAATAACCTTAATGCTAATAACCCTAACAACCCTAACAACCCTAATAACCCTAACCCTAAATAACCCAAACCCTAATAACCCTATCCCTAACCCTAAACCCTAATATGAATATAAACCTATTGACGTCCAGTGCGCCCGTATGCGCCCATGGGGACCCACACCCTTTCTACGCCTTGTGACGTCATCACTTTTAACCCTGGAGCACGAATTTGAGCACGTACTTGAACAGGTTGAAAATATCTTACAAACGATACCAGAATGAGCGCAATTGAGTGAAGGAGATTGGAGAAATAGCCAAAAAACCATGTAACTTTGACCTGAAAATCTG